ATATTAGATTTAATGTATTGAATACTAATGACCAAAGACCATACAAGTGATTAGAAGACATCAAGGACATGTATGTGAAAAAACCAAAAGATCATTAGAAAGATAGAAAAAATATGGATTTCAGAATGGACTGTGAAACTTGCTCTATAATACAGAGATGCTAAATGAATGGGGTAAATTATGATGTAAGACAGCTAAAGAGAAGATTTCAAAAGGAGGCTTAAGTAGTATTAAAATTACATGTGCAAAACCTTGGAATTAGAAAACCAAAGGGGAAAACACTCACTACTCTTCAAACTGAAAGACCTGAAGAAACAATTCAAGGCTAGAGTTGCAGTAGTAAAGGATTCCATGGGCAAAATATTAAATGACACACAGGAAATAACAAAAGAAGATGGAAAGAATACGGGATACCTTATCAAAAAATAACCAGCTGATATTCAACTACTTCTAGAGATAGGTAAGGGTAGGCATGGGTAGTGCTGGTTTGAAGAAGACCTTCATCGTTGCCCTGGTGGAATGGAGGCTGGTCACAGATATGTGTAATGCATGGACTTACTGTCACCTAAGAAAAGCTGCTAAGGATGTCTTCAACAAAGGCTATGGGTTTAGCACGGTCAAAATGGACTTAAAAACCAAGTCTTGAAGTAGAGTGGAATTTTCTACTTCTGGTCATGCTTACACTGATACAGGGAAAGCATTAGGCAACCTAGAGACCAAATATAAGGTCTGTAACTATGGACTGACCTTCACCCAAAAATGGAACAGAGATAATACTCTTAGAACAGAACTCTCTTTGGAGAATAAGTTGGCTGAAGGATTAAAACTGACTCTTTATACCATATTTGTACTGAAAATAGGAAAGAAGAATGGGAAGTTGAAGGCCTCCTATAAAGGGATTGTTTCAGTCTTGGCAATAATATTGACCTTGATTTTTCTGGATCAACCATCTATGTCTGGGCTGTGTTGGCTTTTGAAAGTTGTCTTGTTGGGTATCAAAATGAGTTTTGACATGGCCATATCCAAACTGTCACAAAATAATTTTGCCCTGGTTTATAAGGCTGCAGACTTCCAGCTGGGTATCTATGTGAATGATGGCACTAAGTTTAGAAGATCAATCTACCAGAAGGTTAATGAGAAGATTGAAACTTGAATAAACCTTCTTGGACAGCTGGCATACAACAACACTTGTTTGGCATTGCTGCTAAATACAAGCTCGATTATAGAATTTCTCTGTCTGTTAAAGTAAATAATGCCAGCCTGATTGGACTTAGTTATACTCAGACCCTTCGGCCAGGAGTCAAACTGACACTATCAGCTTTAATTGATGGAAAGAACTTCAATGCCAGAGGTCACAAGGTTGGGATGGAGTTTGAAATAGAAACATGATATGATGATATGATATGATATGATATGATATGATATGATATGAGCATCCAATTTGGCCCTGAGGTAAAGAGAAATGAACCCACGATGTTTCGGCCATAAAATCTTCTGTGAAATTTCAAACGTGTGAACTTTTTATTCTTCCAAATAATTGTACTTCTCTCCACACTGAAGTCTAGAGACTGAAAGTCCATCCTAAAAGAGGTACTTGAAGGCAGCCTGGAAATTGTTTGTGCCACATTTCAGATCAGTTTCTCAATATTACCTTAAATGTGTTCCTCAACGATAATGCAGTGTCTTGTTATAAAGGAAATGACCTGATCCTCTAATTGGTACATCACGTCCTGCATGTCCCATCCCACTTTTTCATGACCTTTCGATATATTGGTCTTTGTACTGTAGTAGAATTTTTTGGTTTTTGCATCAGAGTAAAATAAATCCATTACATGTGGAACATAATTGCTCATAAAGAACAGAGATATGATCAAGAATAAATACTATTGAAGAAATACAAGCTGCCCTAAGAGACAGACAAAACACAAGTCTTCAGCATTTGATGGAATCCAACTGAAATGCTACAAAAAACTGGATGCAGTGGAGGAGGTACTCAGTCATCCGTGACAAGAAATTTGGGACACAATTACCTGGCCAACCAACTAGAAGAGAGTCATAGTTGTGCCCATCCCAAAGAAAAGCTAAACAGTAGAATGTGGCAATTGTAAAATAATATCATTACCTATCAAATGAATGCAAAGTTTTCCTGATGATAATTCAAAAGTAGTTGCAACAATACATCAACAGAGAGCTACCTGTCAGAAATTCAAGAACAATGTGGAAGAAGATGTGGAGCAAAGGATATTATTGCTGACATCAGATAAATCTTAGCTGGAAGCAAATAATATCATAAATATGTATTTACTGACTCTATAAAGGCATTCAACTGTGTGGATTCTAAAACAGTTTATGAATAACATTGTGAAGACTAGGAATTCTAGAATACTTAATTGTGCTCACACAGAAAAATAAACAGGCAACTAGTTATTGAACAGCACAAGAGAATACAGTATGGTATATATCAGGAAAGGTGTTGTAATCTTTTACCTCTAGTGTTATCGTTTATAGGGAGTTGCAATGCTAACCAAAAAGCACCTGACAGTTCAAATCCTCTAGTGCTCAGAAGAAAGATTAGCAGCCTCTGAAAAACTCATTGGAAGGTCAACTAAGTATCAGTTCCATCTTGACAGCAATGAGTTAGTGAGTGAGTGAGTTCAATCCATATGCTACTAAGAAAATAATCTGGAGAAATGGACTCTACAAAGAAGAATATGACATCAGGGTTAGAGGGAGACTCACTAAAAGCCTGTGAAATGAAGATGGCACAATCTCACTTGCTGAAAGTAAAGAAGACTTAATGCATTTACTCATGAAGATCAAAGACTGCAGTACGGATTACATCTCAACATTAAAAAAATAAAAGTCCTTACAACTGGACTAATAAGTTATATCATGATAAGCAGAAAATACTGTAGTTGTCAAAAGTCCCCAGAGTAACAGTTAAGAAATCAAACAGCAAATGTTGTTGTTGTTGTTGTTGTCATGAGGCACCTTCAAGTCGAGTATGATTCATAACAACCCTGTAAACAACAAATTTGAACTCTTTTCTATCCTGTGCCATCCTCATCATCTCTGACACACTTGAGCCTATAGCTGTTCTCACTGTGTCAATCCATCTCAGTGAAGGTCTACTCTATTTCACTGATTTTTCCACCTCTCCAAGTATGATGTCCCTTTCCAAGAAACAGCCCCTTATAGCAAAGTATGTGAGATGAAGCTTCACCATCTGTGCCCCTAAGGAACACTGTGACTGCACTTTTTTGAAGACATATCTGTTTGTTCTTTTGGAAGTCTATGGGATATTCAATCTCTTCTCCAACATCACAGCTCACAGGCCTCAATTCTTCCTTATTCATTGTATAGCTCTCAGTTGCATAGCAAGAGATAGGAAAGGCCTGATTCGGGTTCACCTTAGTCTTAAAACTGACATCATTGCTCCTCAATAATTTGAAGAGGTCCCTGACAGTGAACCTGCCCAATATAATATGTCTCTTGATCTCCTGAATGCTGGTACCAAGGGTGTTGACTGTAAATCCAAGAAGAATTAAATAATTGACAATTTCAATCTTTTGTCCAACTATCACGACCCTGCTTTTCAATTCAGTCATCAGGTTGTCAGGATGTTGAGATGTAATCCATATTGAAGACTGTAGTCATGGATCTTCTGAAGTAAATGCTTCAAGTCCTCTTCACTTTCAACAAGCAACATTGTGTAACCTGCATCATGCAGCTTATTGATAAGTCTTCCTCTGATCCTCATACCACATTCTTCTTCATAGAGTCCAGCTTCTCACATAATTTGCTCAGGGTACAGACTGAATAGGCATGGAGAAAGGATGTAACCCTGATGCACGCCTTTTCTGATTTTTAACCATTCAGGATTCCCTTGCTCTATTTGGACAACAGTTTCTTGATCTTAATTATAGGTTTCATATAACCATAATTTAGTGGTCTGGGATTCACATTTTTCTCAGTGTCATCCACAGTTTGTTATGTTCCACACAGCCAAATGATAGTAAATAAAATAGACATTCTTCTGATAGTCTCTGCTTTCAGCCAGGTTCCATCTCACAATCAGCAATGACATCCCTTGCGGTGGAGCCTCTTCTAAATCCAGCTTGAACTTGTTGCTAAGTATAACTTAGGTGTACCTATGTGAGCTTGTTTGTTTGCTCTTATTAGTATAGTCCTTGTCTGTCAGTTTGCTGTATTGAGGGTAAAATATGAGTTGCTGTGATACTGGAATCTATGCCATAGGTGTTTCAAGTGCCAGAAGAAAGTCAATCAAGGTGAGGAGAAACAGCTGCAAGTAATAACTGGAATGTGGGATGTACAAATATGAATGTAGGAACTGAAAGTTGTAAAAAATTAAATGGAATACATGAGGATAAACATTAGTGAACTGAAATGGACTGATACTGGCCACTTTTAATCAGAAAATAAAAATTAAAAACTGGGAAGAATGGTGTTGCAGTATAGTTAAAAAGACAATTTTGACCCATGGCTGCACCTTGTACCTGATGTGGGGTGAGGGGATGGGGTGTGATGGGGTAGCACTAGTATAAAACTCGAGCATCTAAACACCTCCCTTCCTGATCTTATAGTGTGATCTGGCTGCAAAGCTAAGTCTCTGATGTCTGAGGCTGCGGGCAATGCCACTGGAACCAAGGAGAAGAGAGGACTGGCTCCCCCGATCTCAAATAAACCTGTTTATCTAGTGGAAAAAAAAATACAACTTCAAATACACAACCAGAAAAGAATAAAATTGACTAGTGGGACCTTCTAAAGATTAAATCCTGTGCACATCAAAAATATTTTCCAACAGAGTGAAAAGAAAACCTACTGACTAGGAAAAAACATTTGGCAATACCATTTCAGGCAAGGGTCTCATATCAAAAGTTCACAAAATCCTACAGGGCCTACACACACACACACACACACACACACACACAAAGATTGATAACACAATTGCAAAATGGGCAAAAGCCATAGAAAGACATTTAACAGAGGCAGATACTCAGATGGCCTACAGACACATGAAGATATGTTCAAAATCACTGGCAATAGGAGAGAGTGAGAGATGCAAATCAAAACCACAATAAGATACCATCTCACCCCAGTACCAATGGCAAAGTTTAGTAGGACAGCAAGTAACAAATGTTGGAGAGGATGTGGAGAGATAGGAACTCTTATACACTGTTGGTGGTATTGTAAAATGGTACAACCACTCTGGAAGGCAATTTGGCGGTTCCTAAAAAAGCTGAACATAGAAATTCCATATGACCCAACTATGCCCCTGCTTGGAATACATCCCAAGAAAATTATAACTGAGGTGAAAATGGAGATTTGTACACCAATGTTCATAGTGGCATTATTCATCATCGCAAGAACTTGGAAACAGCCCAAATATCCAACCACAGTCAAATATATTGAGAAACATGCCCCAGCTCAGTCGCCCTCCAGGTGCAAAGAGCAGATTGTCTGAATCCAGGGAGCGAGGCTTTGTGATCTGGGTGAGAAGTGAAGTGTCAATGAGTCTGCTGCCCTTGCTGACAGGGACTGTGTTCCAGCCACTATCGTCCACAAGTGGAAGACCAAGGCCGATGGATGGGCCTGGAGGGCCACCCTGTCGCTTGTCACTGCCCTTTGCCATGAGCTGCTGCACTTTGATGTGCTCCCGATGTTCTTCCATCTCAGCTTCCTTGTGGATTTGGTCAATGGTCTTGGGACCCTGGTCCCCTCTGCGTGGTACCCAATTGCTTCGACGCAGATCTAGCACATCTTGCAGCATAAAGCAAATTCTGGAAGACGTCTTCTTGTCCTTAACGACTTTTTTCATTTGGTGAAAATACTGATCCATTTGCGGCTTGGCTTTCTCAAAGTCCAGGTCTTTGCCAATGGTGGTCAGCAGACGGCACAGGCACTCGAGAGACTCTTCATTGTGGTTCTTAAGCAGTTTGACTACACAGTCGTGCATTATCGCCTCGGTCAACATCTTCAGCTTAAACAACTCCCCAATAAACTTGATATTCCCAAGAGAGCGCCGCCGGGCTTTATCTCGAGCCTCTTCCAGCTCTTCCTTCAGACGTTCCTGTTCTTCTGCTGTAGCGGCTTCATCCATTTCCTTCTGCTTCTTCTCTAAAACCTCATCATCATCTTTGTCTTTCTCAAACTCCTTCTGACATCGATTCAACAACAGTTTTCGGAAGTTTACAGTTACTGTTGGATTTTCTGTAGTGGGCACTTTTAGCGCCATGAGACAGCGGCACATGTTGGCATAGGCCACAGAGAAGTTGGGCTCTGAAATGGCCTTCTCGAAGATGAGGTCGATGACCCCTTTGAGGCGTTCCTCAGTGTCTATGGCCAGCTGCATTACTTGCTTCATCAGCTGCGTAAACATCTGGGGTGTCAGCTTATTTAGGATGGATCGTACCCTGCGGAACAGTTCCTGGGTTTTGCTTTCATCCGCATCCTCGTCTCCTTGGTTCCTGTCAGCCAGTGTCCTCTTGCTGCTGGGTTTCCAGGCCTTTTCGGTTTTGTTCAGTTTTATGTCTTCAGTCATAAACACTGAGGTAATGATCTTGCGTGGTTCTTTTCGAGGACCCTCTTGAGAGTGCCGGGGTCTCAAGCCAGGCTGATGCCCTCGGGATAGCTCCCTACCTGGCTCACCCGTCATGAGCCCACGGCTGCCAAGGGCTGGTCTGCCAAGGTTGGCAAAGGATGGAGTGAAGTCTGGGCCACAAGTTATGCTCTGTAACCTGGCAGGATCCAGTGGACGCAGTGGTGTTTTATTGGCCTTGTCCAACACCACATCAGTGATATGGGGCAAGCCCTCTGGCTTCTGCAGACTGGCAAAGACAAACTGAAAGCCAAGCAGGAACTCCCGATCATAGCGCTTTTTCTCCTCGACATTTAGAGGCTTCCACTGATCTGACTTACACGTCTGCTCCACAGGCTGGATATTCTCAGCATTGTGAATTTTGTCTTCCTTT